ATGCATTTAAAACAAATTTTGATTTACTTTGGACCTAGACAGTACAAAGATTAAATAAACAATGTGACATTATTTTTTAGCTAAAATACCATTACATCTTTATGTGTGAACCTCAGATAAAAATGAATCAACCAGATTGGACACTCTAATGAAATCTGCAATTAGAGGTGCCTTTTATGCTTGTTTTGTGGTTGGTCCCTGTTAAAAGCTACAAAAATACCATAGTGCAGTGATGAGGGTATAGTTTTCCACACTGTACGTCAGTGTTTAGGGCAGTGGTGCCCAAACATTTTCCCCGAGGGCCAAAAAAATAAATTTTCCCTGAGAGGGCCAAAAAAACAAACATTTTCCCTGAGAGGGCAAAAATTAAAATCAATCTGAGTGCCCTGGGTCAAATGCAATATTATAATACATGAATGCAAATACTTCTTTAAGTAAAGTTGTTTTATTTTTATGAATAAGCTAACAGTCAGTGCAGTTGCCCACTTTTTTTTCAGCCCATGGACATGAAGAAAATTCAAAATATGCTCAGGCTGCAAAGATTCATGGGACTTTTCATAAATTAAAATTTGAGTATATGTGGTATAAGTGTGGTATGAGTAGAAGGTGTGCAAATCTAGATATGGGCTTAAATCTAATCTAAATGTCACTTGTAGTTACTTGTATTTTATGTTTAATGTTAACATAATTCAAAGATAAAGTGAGTACCATGAGATAAGACTGACTTCAACTCCTTGTACCTATAGTTAGACCAATGGTTGAAAAGTGGTCTTTCTACAAAGGACAGGAGATTACAATCTAATAACCAGGAAAACTGCTGGTGGGCCAAATCAAATGGCTTGGTGGGCCAATTTTGGCACGTGGGCCCCACTTTTGAGCACCTCTGTTTTAGGGTATCATTTGGAGGCCTTTGTTCACACCTGCAAACATGAAAAAGAATAGGAGTGGCCACCCTGGGGTCGGAACAGCATAAAAGACAAGTCAAATCAAAACAAATAACACATTCATAAAAGTCTGATGAATACAGAAATGCATTCAAGTACTTTTGATTATGTGGCTTTGAAGCTCAGCGTTGTGACTGTAAACATACAGGGTTTCCAGTTTTGCTTCTCCACATAGAAAAATAGCTTTTAAAAGAAGATGTTATGTTTCGTCTGGGTTCATGTTTTTTATTTTGACTTTATTCTGATTTTTTTGTCATGTTCCTGTTTTTCTTCCTCCTGTCTGCCTTTGCTCCAGCCCCGCCCACTCACACCTGATCCTCATGTTTCTCCCCCAGGTGTTCCCTGTTTGTGCTCATTAGTCTCACCTTTTTATTCTGTGTCGTGTCTTCACTTCCCTGTCGGGTCATTGTTTGGTTGTGTTCAGTATTGTCCTGTCTTGCCACGTCTCTCAGAGGTTTTCGAGCTGGTCAGTCAGCACCTTTTGTTTAAATAAATTCTTTGTTTTTTGGAGCTTTGCAACTGCCTGCATCATGGGTTCATTCCTGACTGAAAATCTTAACAGAAGAATGAATCCACACTGATGTGCTGTCCACCAGGCACGTCGTTAGACCTGGGCTTCCGGGGCTTTAGCCCCGGATGTTTTGTCAGTAGCCCCGGATCAAAACGACACCTGCTCTCTCAATGACTGCCTCTCCTCCAGGAGCGGGATGGTACGATTGTGTCACCATCAGCTGTTTGTGCTTCCAAGCTGTGTGTGTGAGAGGAGGCAGAGGGCTCTGGGAGGAGGGAGATGGACTTTTTCACCGACATCTCACAGCAGCGGGAGCAAATTTACCGTAATAACTGTATGCTGGCTGTAAAGAGCAGCGTCACAGCTTGCAGACACAGTCAAAAAAATTCTGATGGCACAAACTGTTGCAAAGTTATGGTCTTTCAATTCCGACGCTTGTTAAATCTCTCATCATGCGACTGACACATAAAATGGATTCATGCTCTTCTGTCGAAGTTCAGGTAAGTTTTTCCAGCCAAAAGCATCATTTATTAGAGCTGAAAGTCTTTGTGTAGAGCAGAATATGAATGCTGGTGATGGATGGGGTTGCTTGTTTGTATGCGTGTGCAACTTTACGTGTGTGTGGGGGCACGTTTTTGCTACATTAAGGGAACCATCAATCCATCCATCCATTTTCTGTACACGCTTCTTCCTTTTCAGGGTTGCGTGGGTCACTGGTGCCCATATTCAGCAGTCACAGTGCGAGGGGCGGGGTACACCCTGGACAGGTTGCAAGTCCGTCACAAGGCCACACATAGAAACAAACGAGACAAACAACCATTCACTCTCTCACTCACACCTAGGGACAATTTAGAGTTATCAATTAAACTAACAGTCATGTTTTTGGTCTGTGGGAGGAAGCCGGAGTACCCGGAGAGAACCCATGCATGCATGGAGAGAACATGCAAACTCTACCCAGAAAGGTCCCCGGACCGGGATTTGAACCGGTGACCTTCTTGCTGAGAGGCATCAGCTCTACCAGCTGAGCCACCGTGCCCGCCTGTTAAGGGAACCATTTTTCTGGAAAAAAAAACAGTCTTGTGGGAACCGAATGTGGGTTGGGGGTTGGATTTAGGACCAATGTGTGAATTGAGTTTACGTTAGTTTTAGGGTCAGATTTGGTACCTGTGAGGTTAATTTTAGGGTAAATGGTCAGGATTAGGATATAAAACTACCAGAAAATGAATGGAAGTCAATCCATGGTCCCCACAAGGAAATAAAACCAAACCTGAGTGTGTATGAATGTGAATGGTGGGATTAGTTTATTTGAAATGATTAAAAGGTTCAGGAAACGTGATTAATTTAATCTTTAGTTGCAGAGGCTGTCAGAGAAAAATGTGTGAGATGTGATGAAGGTGGGATTTACTGTTTATTTTTTATAAACAGGAGTGTAGAGCTGAAGTTTTTGTTGTATGTTTCTTGTCCCGTCGTCCTGCAAGTTGAAAACTATGTCCTGCATTTGACTGTGTCAAATTATGAATAGCCAAAATAAATGAACAAGATGATAGATAAATAAAAAGATTGTTTCATGTCTGCATTTTGCATCCACTAAATAACTGTCAAAAAAAGTGCAGCTACAACAAAGACTGGTAAATCCTGTCAGTCTATAGACAGACAGATAAGCGCAGCTCAGTCCTGCAGGACAGCTGTTCTGCTCCTTCCAGCTGTAGACTTGTGTGGATCTTATGGTTTCCTGTTATTTAATATTTTTTCATTATGCTAAAATTAAAAAAGGTGCTAAACTTTAAAGAATGTTTCTTAACCAAAGTTTTTACTGATAAACTTTAAGGGTTTTGAATGAAAAAAAATATAAAATTACATTTTTTTCTTTAAACCTTAAAAAGCAATGGGCCTCATCCAAGAACCGTTCGTACGCACAGATTTGTTCTTATTGTGCGTACGAGTGATTTAGGAGAATTTGTGACATTCACCAATGTTTTCGTATTCTAAGATTTTTTTCAGATACGAACAAAATT